TATGACGAGCCTCCAGTGCCGGAGACACATAGGGGCGACACTTTGAGCTCCACGTGGGACATCGCCACGATTGACCCTTCTCCCGAAAAACCATCATTTGGACCCAATTTTTGGGACATCTTAGCCAAAGATGGTTTTTGGGGGCCGAGGATGAATCCCTTGTGGTCTGTTTTCCACTTATGTATCGTGAAATCTCCCGTCAACGGGATGGTGGGCCATTATTATGAATTTGAGCGCGGCGATCGTTGTGGTATGTTTGATGTTCATTCTATACTGTGGGAGATGCGTATGGAGGCATGTACGTGTGCCTTTGCATTAGCTCATTTCTTGCCCACGCTTATGTTTACCTTCGATGTGGTTGGGCGTTCTTCAAGCTTCGTGTTTGATCGAGGACGAAGCGGGACACACTTCTCCAACGAGCACGGGTCGGATTCGAGGGCGAATCATGCTCAACCGGGGGAGAATGATGCAGAAGAAATATAAGTATTATTATTATTATTATTATTATTATTATTATTATTATTATTATTATTATTATTTAATAATTAATAGTAGCTTATGGAATAAGCTGAGTTTAGGGTTACAGGTTTATTTAAAGGGCAACTATGATTTGTTATTGGAGTTGAATTGGAGAATGAAAAATTAATCGTGTTCTTTCGGGAGAGTATCCCAAGTTCGAGAGAGTATCTCGTATTGTATTTTTCCCATTCGTTCACGCTTTCGCTACATCATGAGTTGAATCGAATTTGCAAGTATATATAGGTACGGGAAATATGAATTTCTAATGTAGTCTTTTATTTAGCGTGATTGTCTATAGTTTCTACAGTAAATATCTCACTCAAAACTTTTTTTTTTTTTTTTTGTACAGGGACCTTCCGATTTCCCGATCCACAGAAAAACCGACTAATATTATTAATATAATTAAATAATATCAACCAATCATTATTACACATCACATCAACTTTAATTCACTATTCATCCACTCACATAATTTTAACTAACCATCACTTCTAATCATTTTCTTCTACTTTTATATCAAATCAACTTTAATTATTTTAATTTAAATATTGTTTTAATATATCCACTAACAATTAACCATACTACTTTTTTTTAAATTTAACTATAGTTAAAAAAATAGTTTTTTACTAGTTGAATTAATATCCAATCACCCCTTAATGAAAATTATAATTAACTGCCTTTCTTTTCTTAAAAATGTGTTATGATGATCCATTAAAAATGGTGTTTTTTTTTGTGTTAAAAAAAATGCATACAACCTACTTAAAATACAAGAAAACAAATTTGGAAGATAGTCGTTCCAATAATAGGAATTGTGTGAAACAATCACTCAATTAACTATATTATGTGAAACAACTGATAGGTCGAAAAATATGTACGTTTTATATGTTCAAAAGTGTATAATTATATACTCAATTTATTCGCACGTTTATATTTTTCGACTTATTTATTATGTGGATGAATTTATTTTCTTTGAGGTTTTTGGTGTTATTTTCAGTATTTTGGAGTACTTTGTGATCACAAAGCATTGGATGGAAGTTGACGTGATCAATTATTGGGTCTCGCTCGATAACAGGCGAACTAAAACCGGATGCCAAAATTAAATTATACTTGGTTTTTGTGATGATGGGCCACGCAATAGGCAAGACATGGAGGAGTTTCAATTTTTTTGGGCGCATGACAATTCACACAGGGGGCAATTAATTGTTGGGAGTTGAATTTAATTATTTGGGCTAAAGATTAAAAAAAAGCCGTAAAGTGTGCGAGATTTGTCGTGGGAGGATTTATTTTGGATGGCCATAAGGCACATATTTTTTTTATACAACTCATGCAGCCACCCATCATATTTTTTATTTTGGGAGCCACCAAAATTTATTTCACGCAACAAGAACATAGAAAAGGATTTGGAGGCTGGACAGTTATAAAAAGACCCACCTGGTGTCTACGGAAGAAAAAAAAAAACTAAAAAAAGAGAAGAAAAATTTGAGCATACTTGAGCAGAAGATAATCACAAGCTGCAAAGTAGAGCAACAGAGGCGCACACAATTAGAGAAGAATCTTATTCTTTTCTTTTATTTTCTTTCTTATGTAATTAATTCTATGATTATGATTTTGAACATTATGTGTGGCTAGTACTCTTATTTCTAGTTCCGGGGAATTCGAACCCTGCGACTTGATGAATGTTTAATTAATTTGCTTGGTTGATAATTTTAATATCTTTTGGAATTGTTTGTGTTATTTTGACTGAATAACTTAGATTTGTGAATCTTGTTTAGATTGATCACTTAGACTATGTTTTTCATATCTATTACTAGAATTAAATCGTCAATCCGTAATTGTTGATATGTTTAATCAATAAGTAGCAACCGGAAGATGGTAACTACCGGGGATAACACAACCTATTTAAGTGAACGAACGCGGTTGAGTTTACTATTTAGTCTAGCCTATTTTTCTTGATTGTAAATCAACTAATTGTATTAAATCTAGGAAGCGTTTTCTAGACTGTACAAGAAGTTAGGTTTAATCGTAGAGCGTCTCGCGGTTAAATTAACAATAAGAAAAAATTCGGGTAAAAACGCATGTTGTTACCTAGGGCTAGTAATTCCATAAGATAGCGAAATTTGATACCATAATTGGTTAGACGAGTCGGTCGAGGGTGTAGACGGAACCGTGAACTAGAAACTTTCCCATTATTTGAAAAACCATTGTTAATTGCTTGCATTTGTTTATTTTTTTTTTTATTTTTTTTTATCACTCTAGTAGTTAATTTATTCATATCAAAACCCCCTCTTTATTAATATTTTGTAATTTCAATTAAAGAAAATAATTATAATTCAGTTTCATACTCCCTGTGGATTCGACCCTTGCTCGCTACTACTACTAGTTGGTAGAAGTAAGTTAAGAAAAAATATAAAATATTAATTTCGCCGCGTTGCGACGCGCGGTCAACAACATTGTCATTCTGTGAGATATAACGTCACGAGATGCAATCTAAAAAATTTAAAAGATCTCTGATATCCATAAATACCTCAAAGAAGGTGTCCAAATCCTGCGAGTTAGTAATGCCGCCTACGACTTCTAAGGAGTGTCACCAGTCTGAACCTTTAAGTATAAGTTTAGTGCAAAACAAAGACCGTGACGGAGCGCCAACACTTATGCTAATAAAGTAGAAAATGAGCTCTCGACGCAAGTAGTGAAGGTTGTCTGACATACAATGTATTTATCAAGAAACTAGCCACCTGAATCAATTCTGGACGCATGGGCAGCCGCATCGCATATATGAGTCCAAGTGACTAACTACAAGGACAACTAGAAAGTAAATCTCCATTGGGCTATCGAATTTTTTTTAACCAAGATATCTCAAAATCCCAAACTCGCTCTGGACTTCTTATCTTGAAGTGTTTATGTAGGCGATTACGCTCTTACTAAATAAACTACAAGCTAACAACAATAGTCCTAAATTCAACAACACAATCCCCATTTAAAATAGTCAAAGCTAGGGAGATAAAATCGCATTTGCGAATACTATACTATAATATATTCAATAACTTATGTTTTTATTTATAACTACATATATAGTTCTTTTGCAGTTAAGTTTATATTTCACAATTTATATTGATAAGGTGTTTTATAATTTGTACAATCATAATATACATGGACAAAAACTCTAAATTTACATGAAATATTCCACTGAACTTCGATTCAAAATTACCTATAACAAACTTTTAAAATTACAAGTATTTTATTCAGTTAAATTGTACATATATTTCAAAATTAGTATCGTTTGTACATGTTATCAGTTTTTCATTTATAATATATAATTTTAACTATCTTTTGATGAACTTCGATTTGATATGTATATTGTATACATGAAATAAATAAATCGTTTTATTTTTCGATTATAAATTTAAATCACTTATAAATGCTAATTACGAATTAACAAAATTATGTATCAATTAAAAAATATATCTATAACTTCATTACATATTACTTAAAAAAGTTACTATAATATAAAATAGAAGAACATACAAGTAAAAAGCCACATTTTAAATAAAAAATCATATAATTTTTTTTATAAAATGTTTAAAATTTAAATAAAAGACTTAGTTCTTACATTTTTTTTAACAATTATAGTATAAACTTTTAAATAACACACTTGTGTTACATAGGTGGTGTACTATTGTGTGTGAATGTATTATTGATGATATTCATCATATTGTTTTCAAAAGATTAATAATATTAATAATTATTAACACACCTGTGGATTCGGAACCAAAAGGTC